AGTATATATCCCTTTGACTTACACAGAAGGTGGAGACTCAGTGTGGAAGCTTCATGCATCTGTCCCACCTGCAGTCACGGACCCCCTTGTCATAGATGACCCTTTTCTGGCTGAAAGCAGCTTTAAGCACCTCGAATCCGGAGCCTCCATGGAAATTCAGCTCTACTTCTTAGTTGCTGAATGGCCTAAACCTGTTCACTTTAGTTTTCAAACAGTAAAGTGAAAATACACCTACATCCTAAGGAGCTTGTGAAGATTAAATAATTTAATATATCAAAACTGATTGTGATTGTTCTAGGCGTAGAGTGAGCAGTGTATAAATGTTAGCTAGGGAAAAATCATGGAAATCAAACTGCTTTTAAGAGTGCCCAGCCTCACCTTTTCTTTGTGCAATGAAAGAGGAACTTGCATGTTGCAATCTGTTTCTATCACATCTTTGCTCTCAGGAGGAAAAAAAAAAATTGACGATAATATGGATTGATACTTTTCTAGGCACATGGCCTGCATGTTATGAAACGATGTCCTTTTATGCATACTTGAACATGGTCAGGAATCACCCTAGATAGGTCTAACAACAAGGAAATCCTCTAATGAGTGGAGACTAACCTCTGTGTGGCGTGAAGGCTCGGGCTGCTTCCCTTCTCACCAGTACAGAACGTGGCGTTTGTGCCTATCCAAATACTCTGCTTGCTAATCCACAACCCGCCAGAGCAAACTAATTTTGACAAATTCTAAAAAAGGAAAACATCCAGGAAGCAGGCAGGTCTGCTGACATTTGATAATATCTAGTTGTCAGTGAGATTTCTAGAAGGTGCACATGCCCACGTCAATTCCTGGATTTAAAAGAAACACAGGGCAGAAGTTTGTGGAATGAAAATTAATGATAAAACATTTTGCAAGCATTTCATATGGGATCATTTGTTAGTTAATGTTTACAGTTCATGGCCTGGATGGTTTTGGTTAATTAAAGAAGTCACTTGGGATAAGGAAGCACTCAGAAACGACTGTGGGTTTTTATACAGTTCATAATAAGCCCAGAGACTTGAGGGAGCCTTTCAAGACTCTATAAAACTGAATATATTTTCCCTTTGGCCCATTATTTACTTAACTGCAGGTCATTTATTTTGGCAGGAGAAAATGTACCTGTTCAATATCAAAAGGCCCATGAATTTTAACCTTCTTTTATTGCCCTATTATATCATTTGAGAATTTTTAGTTAAATGAAAAAAATGGTGATTTTTCTCTATATTAGGAGTCCTCTCAGCTTCTGTGATTTTTAGTTTCCATAATTTAAAGTGCATATTGAAAATAAATTGCTTTATTTGATTGCATGTAGATTTTCCATTAATGAAGTCCAGTAGATATATTTAACATTGTATATACATCTATGAAAAGTAATATATTCAGAAATGGGTCTGAAGATAACGGAATCTGTGTATGTATCCACTTAAAGATCTCACCTAATAACACTTTTCTTATTGCATAATAATGTGAATTTATACTTTGGATTATGAATTATGCATGTTGGAGACAGATCTAGCTATTTTAGTCATGGATATTAAAATTGTTCATACCTTTTTTTTTTCCCCCCAATACCTACTTCTACATTGTGTGCAAAGGACAAAGCCCAGCCTTACCACCTCTATTACCAACAGAACAAGCTTCCCGACCCACTCCGGCATCACCTCCTCTTGAAGGCAAGTATTTTATTTTTCCTAAGGTCTTCTCTATTGTAGATAAAATAGAATGTAGAGAAATAAAACAAAACAGTAACAGCACGAACAACAAAATCCATATTTTCTCAAGTAGTTTTAGTATGTCTTAGCTGCAGGTTACTTTTCTTGAAATTACAACTTGTTGCGTTTTTGGAAAACCAAAAATTTCCTCTTCAGATTTTATATTGGTTACTATCAGCTTCCAGAAGGATGGCCAGCTTCATACCCTGAAAACCAAAGCAGAAAGTACAGGGACAAATGGATAAGGATATGCCTTGCAATTCTTGAACTTTTACCACAACTTGACCAATTTAGCGTCTTAAGACTCTGGTCCTAGTGTTTCTGGGTTTGAATCTGAATTTCATCTCTGATCATTTGAGTTAATTTTTTGAAGTTACTTGAATTCACTCTTCATGAGTTTTATCATCTATAAGATGGGTCAAGATAGTACTCACCTCACAGAGTCAGTGTGTGAGGATAAAATGGTGTGTGCGTGTGTGTGTGTATGTGTGTGTACCAGTTTACAAGTGTTTTATAAAATTTGTAGCTAATACTACCACTCGTAAGTAGTTCTTCAAAATAAAATGCTTCAGGACTGGCAAAATTAGAAGGGGAAATGTCACCATAATTAATTTTGCTAGAAGTTCAAAATCATTTGTATTTACTTATTCATCCAACTATAATTTATTAAATCCCAACAATGAGATCACATAAGGCATTGCCTAAAGTACTGGGGATTCAAAGTATAATAAAAAATAGTTCCTGTCCTACTAAGACTCAGTTTACAGACATAAAATTAGAAGTAATTAAAGAGGAGCCAGATTACACAAGTAATCAAAACCCAGTGCACCATTAGTGTTTTTGCAAGAGTACAGAGAGAGGTCTCCTTCAGACCCTCCTAGCACCCTTTCCACTCACTCCCAGCTCTGTCAAACCTGAAAGGGACACCACCCTGCAAATTCTAACCCCATCTACCAAACAGCTGTTCTTTGGTCTTCCTCTGAGACTAGAAGTTTCATTTATCAGGAGGCCCAAACAGTCACTGGCAACAGAGAAAGATCTGTCGGAGGGAAGAAAATTCAGGGTCGTAGGATCTGGAGTGTAAGAGAGAAAAAAACCCAGGTAGCCACACCCTATTGTCCCCACAGACTCCTAGACCCAGGGCAAGGTGTAGCCAGAGGAGTGTAAAGCACACAGCTTGCACAAGGTGCCCTGGTTGCTGGCTTCTAAGAGGTGCACTGATTACACAATATAATAAGAAGCAAAAAATAAGTCCCCAGACCCCATTCCCAAATGAGCACTGTGGAAGCTTAGAGAAAGGAGGGCATAGCTCTTCCTGGAAGAGGTGAAGAGGACTCCAGGAAAAGCTTCTTTGCAGAGGTCACTATGGAGCTAAAGTCTCAAGAATAGGGAAGCATGAGCAAGGAAGGCAAGAATATTACCAATAAAGAATTGGCATATGCAAAGGCATGGAGATGGGAAAGAAAGTCATTTGGTCCAGAGGAGCAGAAGTAGCTCAGCATGGAGAGAAAGAAGAAGTCATGGAGAGGGTCTGGGACAGCTCATAAAAAGGCATGCAAAAGACAGCTTGTGATGTGCCTTGTAGCTCAGTCTTGGATATATTTGTATCTTAAAGTTCTTATTAGAGAACATTGAATAGTAAGGTAAACCTGCAATATCCTCAGCCTGCAGATACACTTATCAACATTTTCTATTCTGGTCTATCCAAACTTTCTCTTCTTTCCTTTCTTTCTTTCTTTTTTTCTCATTGTGTTTGTATTTCTTTTGCAAATCTCTAAAATCATGCTATTTCACCAAGCTAAGGAATTTGTATTTCCTTTTAAAATTTTTGAGACATTTACATGGTTCAAAATTTAAAAGTTACAGAAATGATATAGGATAGAAAATCTCCGCCTGGCCCTATGCAACAACTACCCAGTTCTCTTTATAGGAAACTGATGTTCTTTCCTCCAGAGAGATTCTGTGCATATTCAACCATAAATATTTCCTCCTCAGCTAAGAGATTTTAATTTTTTTCTATAGAAGACAAGGAATTCCCTATGGATGGGATAGACAAGTTCATTTTAAAAAGATCAGTTTGACTGTCAGCCTGCTGGACTAGAGAGGTGACGTGAGATTGGCTACAGACACCTGAGAAGAGAAAATAGTCCAACCAAGTTGCAAAGCAGGAACTAAACTGGTGTAATGGATGGAGAAAGCAGATAGATGAGAAAAGTATATGGAAAAGGAACCAGTCGGTGAAAGTATCTGATTAATTTAGATGCTGAGATACAACAAGTGATAAGAATGACTCCAGCTTTCTGAATTAGTTATCCAGGTAGACAGAAACGCCATTCACTGAGACAAGAAACCACTGAAATAAAACGGGCCTGGGGAGGAGAAGCAGGAAGGTGATGGGTTCAGGACAGACTGGGACATGACAGTTTCCCATGAGACATCCAGGTAGAATTACTGAGCAGGCCATTCTAAATTGGCATATGGAACGCAAGAAAATATTATATGGCTATTATTTGGAATTATATATATCAGATATAATAATGTATATGTAACCTGTCCTCTCCTCTATAATTTGTTTATCTTCTATCCCCCAAACCTCATTCCCAAATGAATATCCAATAATGAAAAAGAAATGTCTGAGAAGTTAGTCCATTTCATGTATCCTACAAACCTATCTTACAAAGGGGACCTAGGCATTATTGATCATTTGTTGCTTCTTAGAGAGATGGTGGGAACTCTGTGACTTTAAAAACAGTTATAGTAATTTATAGCCTGTGCTCTGCAATCACACACACCTAGATCCCAATTGTGCTGTTTACTTATCTGGATGAACTTAAATGTGATAACTATAGTTTCAGCCTCTTTATTGGTGAAATTCTGACATTTGTATTACCTATCACAGAGAGGTATTGTACAGAGAGAATAAAACTATAATGACTGCAGTTTTTATTATTGTGTTTGATATTGGTGAACTTAAGAAGTTCTCTTTCTATTGCATTTTATTGACTTAACACAACTTTCCACAAACAGTAGTTTGCAGATCACCAGCACCAAAATCAAATATGAAGCTTGTTAAAAATTCGTATTCCCACCATAGCTTAGATCTAGTGAATCAGATTCTTGGCAATTCAGAGAGGAAGAAAAAAATCTCTATTTTTAACAAGATCCTCAATTAAGTCTTGAACACGTTAAATTCAGAGAACCTTTGGTTTATGTCCATGTATAAAAAAGCCTTACAGATTCAGCCAGTTGTTTTACACCAGACACCTGAACTTGGTAGCCTGTTTCAAATAGTCTTTTCTCCAGTTCATCTAAATTAAATTAAAATAATTAAGTTAAACTTAAATAAATAAGTACACTTTAATTTTAATATATGCATAATTTACTTAATAATTAATGATTTAAATATAAATAAATAAAATTTAATCTGAATGCCTTGGTGAGAGATGCATTATCCAGTTGAAGACAAACCCAATGATCCTTTTTGGCTATATATTTATGTTTCACATAACCAGTAGCCAGGGAAGAATTTGGGTAGCTGGGCAGGAGATGTTTTCCTTAGGTCGTGTTCTGACATCAGCATGTTCTATGCACTTTCTGGCCAGATCCTGACCAAGTCATACCTGCAGCTCTGCTCTATTCAACTCACATTTACTTAGAATATCGTGTTTTCTGTACTTATATGCATTTTACACTTGATATTTCAAAACCCTGTAACGTAGACATTATTAACAATGAACAAAGGTAGGCTTGGAGTTTATTTATTCGTGCTAAGTTAGTAAATAGCGGGTCTGAGATTTGAGCCCTGAATTTCTAGTTCTATGCCCAAGGGTCTTTCTAGTATATTACTATGTGGACATCAGCTTTTGAGGATCCTACCTTCATGTCTTCTGAGACATGAATATTTCTAAAAATGCTTTTCTTTAGTATTAGTCACCTGAATGTCCTATAATTGGCCAGATGTCCTTCAGAATGGCTTAAATGCCACTCATGGAGAAATTGTGACTGATGTTTGTCTGGGAGAGAACAATAGTTTTCAAGCCAAGTACCTTAACATTCTAGAAAATCTTATAAGAGAGCAAGAGAAATGCCAGTGGGAATGAGGGGAAAGGTTACATTATACTTACAGATTATAAGAACCTACTGTATAGTACGTAAAATATTTTTTTTTGGCCAGCTACACAAATGTAATGAATTAGTAGTTGCAAATTTTAAATAAAAATCCCATATCCTCGGTAAGTCAGTTCTGTATCAGTATCCACCAAAAAAAAGGAATTCACTTGGTCACTAGAGATCACAATTTAATGTAAAGTACATGTAAAATCTTGCTCCAAGACTTCAAATCAATAATAGCTCTTGAATATTTAAAGAAGAGTCCAGGGCTAGTCCAAGGTTTGAAATTTTTGCCTCTGTCCCAAACTGCTACAGACACATTTTATTTGGCCCACAGAGATTTTTTATTTACTGACTTCAAGTGTGGTCCTCTCGACTAAGGGGAGCTTCCTACTCTCTCCATCAACTTCCAGGCATCCGCTTCACCCATTTACTCACTTGGCTCCAGGAGCAATTTCTGTGTGGTAATTATGTGAAGATAGTTTCCTCTTGATATAACAATTTCTTAAATTCCTGATCAACCCTTAATGTCTTGGTCTGCAAGAGCTGCCAAGACAAAACACCACAGATTGGATGACTTAAACGACAGGAACTTATTTTCTCACAGTCCAAGGTCAGAGTGCCATGATGGTTGGGTTCTAGAAAGAAACCACTTCCTGACTTGCAGATGTCTGCTTCTTACTATGTTCACATGGTGAAGAGGGAATGCTGGTAGCTCTTCCTCTTAGAATGACACAGTTCTATGAGATCAGGGTTCCACTCTTAACACCTCATTTAAGCTTAATTACTTCCTAAAGGCCAGATCTCCAATACAATCATACATGGGTTAGGGTCTCAACATACGGATTTGGAGGAGACACAATTCAGTCCATAGTACTCGGTAACTTTTAACCCTAGTTATTAGTAAAGCAGCTTAAATATTTACCTCATACAATCAGAGTTGTCTAAATATCTGAATGCTCAGTGGTTTGCATTTTGCCTATCTATTGTATGTGGTTTCACACCAGTGTAAATTCCCAACTTGCATCATCTTTAATAAATGCTTGATATTGATAGGAATCAAATATTTTTTAAAGTCTTAACTGGCCTCAAATATAACTGACTCATCCTGAAAATAATAAAACAAAAAGAATAATCTCATCACTGGCAACCTCTATATGTCATTTACCTAGCTGGTAAGCAGATTATTAAGAAAAAATTTTTAGAATCCAGCTGAGGGAGAGAGAGAGAAAGAGAGAAAGGGAGACAGCAGACTCACATTTCATTTGACATTTGGACTATACAAACTTATGTTACTGGAGATAATTTGACACAAAACTGACAAGTGACTCTCTCATTGCCCCAGTGTTCACAGGACAAGGGAGAGCCTATAAATAATAGTGTCACCTTAAGTTTCATTGGATTCTAATTCTGTTGTTGTTGCAAGATAGACATAAATCAAACAACTCCAATTCCCCAATTTGTGACAGATTTTGATAGATTATTCAAGTGTTTGACTCCATTTTATCTCCTACTAGAGGTTCATAAAACACCAAGTAGCAAATGTTTTGCCTATCGGTCTGTCACTTGGACAAAGATGTGTCATTTGTAAAGTGCGACACTTAGGTTTCCACTGTTATATTTAAAGAGTGATTTAATTTGACATTTCACCCTGGAAACCAATACGATGTTTAAGTGGGTAACATAACAATATTGCAAGATTATGAGGCTTTTGCTGGTACCTCCTTTCCATTCCCAGAGGAGTTTTCACACTGTGGACACGCACTGAGCAGCTTCCTGAGGAGGCCACATTATCAGGCAGAGCTGAGCTCATGGGCTTCGTCAGGGCGTGCAGATGTGCTGCCCGTGACTTCATTAACATAATTGATTAGGAACTAGGACATATTTAGTATTAATCAAGCTGTTTTTAGTGAGGCTGATTATGCACAGTCCTTGATGCACTATTTTAGTCTGGAACTTCCTTAGGACTAAGTTGCAAGAAAATGGCATTATGAGAAAAAGGAACTTACTTGGGGCACTGAAGTGTGCTTTTTGATTTGAGGAATGCAGATATAACAGGTCAAAATGTGGGAGCTTAAACATATTCAGAATTTTTTTTGTTTGTTTTCAAAAAGTAGAGCTTATGTATAGCCTGGATTATTAAGTGTGTTCACGGGACATTGGAAACAATTTGCAATTTTATCACTAGCTTTTGAAAAACCATGGACCTTGTTATGAGTAAAACTGCTTTCACATCTGTGAGGCCCTTAAAAGCTTATTTGTGTGTTCATAGTACTTAAAACAAAGAAAATTAGTTTCTCACAGCACTCAACTTGTTCTTGGATATGTTGATGTGCTTTATGTTGGACTCTTTGTCTCATGCCTTGAGGTTGTATCTTGTTTTCCTTCAGTTTCACTCCTTCCCCACATCACATGCTTCACACATGATAAGGAAGTTTTGATTGCTTTAGATATTTGGGTATGAAGACTCATTGTGTTTTTCAATCACTTGTTTCCTTTGACTCCTACTGTATTTTTTTAGAATATATTTGGCCATGGAAAATTGGCTACAATTACATTAAACAGATACCTAATAACCACCTTATGTAATCATTTTGGGCATTGTCGATCTGTATTTAATTATGGACATAATTTAAAAGGAACTAACTTAAATGTAATATGAATTCTCACATTCTTTCAAAAAAGTACTAAGTTTTGTGACAGAATTCCCATGTCTGTTGGGAACTCCACTGGGGGTGAAAAGCCTTCAAGGTCTGAGAGTCACTACAGCTAACCACTTATTTCAGTAAGGGAGCTGATCTATTGAGTTCTTCCCCTGAATGAAATGGCAACTGTTATATTAACATGACAGGTTATTCTTACTTTTAGCGTGAGAGCCACTTTATCATGCAGTGTTTATCAGAACTGTATTTCTCAGGAAAGATTCACCCCTCACTGCTCTCAAACAGAATCCTCAGTGATTAAACAAATCCCCACCCCCATCACCCAAACAGCTGCTTCATAAAATCTTAGTATGAGCACAGTTACCAGATATGATCTCATTATTTTTTAATAATGAGAAAAGATTATTTTTCTTTCCCCCTATTCAACATGGACATCCCCCCAAAATATCATGTTTTTTGTTGTCATTGTTCTCTAGAGGATAAAAGACTTCCACCCACATGGAATTACTGGACATTTAATGTAAAATTGCCACAACTTTTCTATTGTGACAAATATGTGGACAGAAGAAGTTACATGATCTCTTGCTAAGTATATATTTTCTCCTTAAGTCACCTATTTTTTTTTATCAATTTTATTTACTTATTTGAGAGAGAGAGCAAGCACAAGCAGGGAGAGGGGCTTAGGGAGATGGAAAGGGGGAGAGAATCTCGAGCGGACTCCCCACTGATCATGACCTGAGCTGAAACCAAGAGTCAGATGCTTAACCAACTAAAACACCTAGGCCCTCCTTAAATTACTTTTAATATACCATGATAAGTATACAATTTGTATAAACAAAGCCAAATATAAGGTGAATAAATACCATATACCCTGTCATCTTCTTGAATAAATACAGAACTGGTACTTAGTATGGCAAATAATAAATAATATCATAAATGCCATCTCCCAACATGGGTAAAAGAACTCTAGAGAGAGACCAAGGACTCATCTTCTAACCTCAGCTTTGACACTAGTCAGTTGTATGATCTATGAGAGATGGGTCTCCATTTCTTCACCTGTAAAGTGTGGGACCAGAACTTGAATGGTCTCTTGAGTCCCTTTCTGCTCCCACCTAGAGATTTCAAGCTTATTGTTTTCAGGCTGGTGAGTTGGTAATAAACTGCCTGAAGAGCAAAGGGAAGACTGTATGGCTTAGCATAGTGATTAAATAGCCACCATAGATGATTGTGGTCTGGATAGAGATGTCTACTTGTTGGGGCAACCAGACATGCCCCAATGCAGTGCATACTACTATGAAGCATTATTTACTGATGTACAAAAGTGAGTTGTAAAGGCTGTAAAAGTTAGGAGGAAGATGAGATATGAGTAAAGCAAGGCCATGCAATGAAATCACAAGACTTGCATTGGGTCATAAAGAGTGAGTTGGTAGGATTTGTGTAGAGGAGAAAGGAGCATTATAAGAAACTTATTATAAGATTATTTCTTACCATAGGTTGCATCCGAGGACAATGTTCTACAGGAGCTAGTAATGTTTTATTTACAATTCTATTAAACCAAGAACTTTATCACCTTAGCTCTTCAGTGAGCTTTTGCTTCCTGAGAAGCAAAGAGTATAAAATAATAAAATAGAAATTTGGCCCCAGTTCTTATTCCATTAACTCTATGACCCAATAAATTTTATTGAACTTTAGACCGATATAATATTTTTCTTTGTTTTGTGCTGAAATAAACTTATATCTTTCAACAATTTTTAATGGAATTGACCTTTAGTTATAAATTTTGATAAAATATATAAACTAAACTACTTTCACTACTTATCTAACTTAGGAAGTTGCTAACACAACTGAATGAAAAAATGTATATAATGATTTAGCAGATTTTCTTTTTTTATTAAAGATTTTACATATTTATGTATTTGAGAGAGAGGGGGAGCACGAGCAGGGGAGAGGGAAGGAGCAGAAGAAGTGGGAAAAACAGACTCCCCACAGAGCAGGGAGCCCAACCAGAAGTTCTATCCCAGGACCCCGAGATCATGACCTAAGCCAAAGACAGGTGCTTAAAAAACTGAGCCACCCAGGCACCCCAACTTAGCACATTTTCTAGCAGAGTTATATACTCAAACATTAGTTGCCCCTTATTATCATTTTTTAATCATGAAGGTTCTACAATATGTATAATAAATCATTAATTTTATGGCAGTTTTTAAATTGGTCTCTACAGAAGATAATAAGGTAATGGCCTTGATGACATTAGTCAATATATGTGAAACTCTACATAATTTCCTAATACAGGCTTCAGGTCATATCCTGAAGAGTTTTGCATACATAGCTAAAGATTTTACATGCCCTCATGGACTCCATGAGCTTGCTAAAGCAATTGAAGGAAGGAGAAGTATGATCAGATTTGCATTTTAGATTACCGTCTCAGTACCGTCTCAGCTATAGAAAGAATGGATGGCTGAGGGGTGTGGATTGGGGGTATGAAGATGAGACAATTACAGGAACCTACTGCTCCTGGGGAAAAATTATCCTCCTTTTCTTTTAAACAATCCCCCTTAACCCACAAAACAACGCCAAGCAGTGAATACAATTTCACATCATTTTAGAATTTAGAAAAGATCAGAAAAATCAAGTAAATTGCTTAAGAGAACACAGCTATAACAGTGATATACAGTTGACATTCAATCAATGCGGAGGTCAGGGGCAGTGCCGGCCCTTCCCCTTGTGGTGGACAATCTGTGTATAACTTGACCCTGTGAAAACTTAACTACCAATAACCTACTGTTCACTAAAAGCCCTATTGATTCATAAACACACCGTTGATAAGGCATATTTTATATGGATTATTTACTGTATTCTTAAACTAGAGAAAAGAAAAATATT